GTATAGTATGTATAGTAAGGGCGGATATTGAAACAATAGGAGGGTATCAATAATATCAGAATAAAGTCTGGAAGAATCAGTTTATTTTTACTATCAACAGCCTATTGTTACATTCTATAATCTAGTCACACACAAAAATAATATTAAAACATTATTTATTATTACAGTGTGTTTCAAGGTCTTTCTCACACCCTTGTGAGTAGTTTTTCAACATTCACTTGTTTTTTAGCAGAGACTAGCTCCATTTTTTATATTGTGCCCTTGAAGGAACATTGTAATTTCCGTTCTTCCGTTCTTGAAGTATTTTGTTGGTTGATATGAATTTTGAAAACACTCAGAATGGTTTCGTTCACTTGTTCACTACTTTACCAGCTCTGATGGGGTTGTTTATTCACTAGCTCACATGAGAATTTTAATGCAGGAACACTGATCAGACTTGTAGGGATATTGGTTGCATCTGAACAGTTTTTTGTTTTCGTTTTATCAGTATTAATGCTCCAGGCTCAAACCACGGTTAGACTTTTAGAACAGCACGAGAGAGTTTGATTCAATAATTTTTCAATCCTTTTTTCGAATGCCTATCACATTTTCTAATCTGATACAGCTTGAAGATTTTGAAAATTGAAGCTGAATAACGGATTCCTCAAATGTACATACATACTCTTTCTGAATGAGATTTTTAGCCATGTTATAATATTATGAGCTGAATCTGCTTTTTTGTGTTAGGTACATATACAGAGAAGTGCACAAAAAACGCGGCCAGGGCTGTAACTTTTAAATTATTCGAGATAGGGTTTTGAAAATTGCTGGTATACCAGATTACTCATTAATTGAAACAATTTTTGTTTCATCACTTCCGGTTTTACTGGAAACAACCCCAACTTTTGATTTTTAAATGGGACACCCTGTATTGTATTCCATAATCGGTTAGGGATTGTCATAGCGAATGGGGGAGACCACTGATTTTTTAAAATGACATTATCGTGAACTCTATACTGGAAAACTACCAGCGAATTAATTTTGAATTTTGTCATTCATGCTAAGACGATGGAAAAAATAAATTAGAATATGTCCATTTCAAAACACACAATTCCTGCGCCATTTGAAATATTGTCAATTCATTGGTGGGACTGGTGTGACGTCTTATTCCCAACACGCCTATTGTCCTTGAAATGGCCAATCACGCTGCAACACTGCAGAATGACGATGTATCAGAGAGAGATAGCTACAGTTCGGGACTAATACGTCACGACTCCACCATCATATTTGGCTGTTGGAAATATCGAATGAAATATGCTGATTTCGAAACGATATAGATTCGATTCCCTTCAACTTTAACTCATAATATTGATTGTACATCAAACGTAAATCATGATTCGTCGATTGAGAGAGGTTTGCACGGATTTCTTCTCTCAGTGGTCTTCCCCATCGGTTTTGATAGGGTTATTTCAAACGATTACGCAGGTATTCGCGTTCTAAGTTTCCATAAGCTCAATGAGTGTGACAGAGAAAGAAGTTTTGATATTGCAAAGTCACAACCATTGTGGAAATTTCGAACGCAAATATCTTTGTAATCGTTTGAAATAACCCTATCAAACCCGGTATCGCTGAATTCGTCATGATAATCCCTAACCGATTATGGAATACAATACAGAGTGTCCCATTTAAAAATCAAAAGTTAGGGTCATTTCCGTTGAAACTGAAAGTGATAAAAGAAAAATAGTTTCATCAATTAATGAGCAATTTGGTAATCTGGAATGATTCAGAAGTTACAGCCCTGGCCGTTTTTTGTGCACTTCCTGTATGTTTTGAACATATAGGAGAGGAACTAACGATTATATAGATCACCCTGTACCATAAAAGAGTGCTCACTTGAGAGCCCATAAGCTGAAAAGATGGGCCTTGGTGACGTTTACTATATTTTTGGGTAATACTTTAAGGAGTCTAAGGAAAAATAAGCTAGTAAGCAACTCAAATAATTCACCACCACCACCACCACCAAAAAAAAAAGAAACTGCAAACAAATATTAAAGGAAAATGAGAGGATAAGACAATGGACTCCAAATACCATTTCCGAAAAATGAAAAAATAATGAAAAACAGAAAGAAAATATTCAAAAATAATCAATCAATAAACATGCAAACAATTGAATGGGTTTTTTGAGTGACTACTGCATTTTCATATTTCATCTATACAGATTATTTATTTCACAGCTCACAAATCAGTTACCTACTAGTCATTGACTTGGTATATAGAATTTATATTGTAAATGATGTCTTCTAATTAATTTATCTTCAACCATTGAAATATTATTTCACGGCCAACTTGAAATATCATCAAAACAAACATATCACACAACTTCCGACACATGACTACAATACATGACAAAAACATCATTTCAAAGTGCCACAAATGTCAAAAACACTTTGCCAATGATCATTTTTATATATCCCTCCAAAAATTTATAATTCCCTACCTGAGAATATGAAAAATATTATATCTACTGCTCATTTTAAGCACGAACTGAAAACATACATCATTAATAACCCTAGAAACATTGTTAAACTTCAAATTTACTGAAAGTATTTTTGCTATCATCAAGGTATTATCATTTTTAAATGTATGTATTATTCTAGTAAATACTATATTATATTATCAATTCTATTTTATTATTATTATTATTCACTGTATTTGTTTCACCCTCAAAACAAGTGTTAACTCACTTATTGAGTGCTCACATTTATTCATCAACAATCAATTTATATTCATCAGCATATATTTATTATATTATCATGTATTTCTATGTTTGTTTTTCTATGTATCTCTATTTGTACTCATTATACATGAATAAAAAAATGTTATTGAAATATAACATTCATGAAATATCTTGAATTCTGCTCTGTTTTGTCTCACATGACTAATTTTAAACTTTATTGAACCTGACTTAAATCAAACTTAAAAAACAAAGTAAGTTTTTGCTGTGAGGAATAAATTATCAATTCTATCAATTATCAGTAGTCACCACCCATTTTTTCACTAATAAATAAATCAGCCACAATTTTGAGCACCATCCTTACTGACTAATACTTAATAGGCTTAAGATTTGTCATGAAATATTATAAATATGTAATCAAAAATGTCCTTGAGGAGGAAATTGCTCAACTTCAGTAAGGATGATATATGCTGTGCACCACTGTGAATAATAATATGAGACTATTGCAGAAATATCAATATGGATATAAAACTGAAACATTTGAGTGATTCCTAAGTTTTTTGTATGCCAGTGTGTTCTTGAGCCTATGTGTGTTCTGAAGCAGCCCCTGTTAATTTGCTGCAACAGTGAATCTTCAGTAGAAGATATGAAATTTAGAATTCACTACTAGCTTTTTGAATGAATAAATTTGTTTGATTGATTTTTGTAGGTAGGTATATTTTTGTTGAGCTCTATTTGAATATACAGAAGAGAAAGTTACTTGTTTAGTGGTGCACAATAATGCTTGGTTTATAAATTCAACTTAACTAACAATTAGGTGTTCACAATCAAGAATTATTAATTATTAAAGGGGTGTTTATGTACAGCTTATAATAATTTGGAATCAGATGTGAAGTTTCATGTGTTCAACACTAAAAATTATGTAAAAAAATGGTTTTTGGTTTTCAGAATCCATGTGAATCTGAGGTATATTCCAATAAAATATGAAAAACAAGCAAAAATTAAAAACCTCCTAAGACTGCAGTCCTAGCAATCCTCATTTCAAACAATAGCAAGAAATAATCATTTTATATTTGCTCTATCTCCAAATTATCTCAGTTGTTGATGTAAATGTGTAACTAGGCCCCGTAAATATTTCCTAATATTCAACTTCCAATTTCCTAGTGATTAGTTTGACTATTAGTTTAGCTGAATCTATAATCCAAGCATAACATGATAAGCAACTACTTCATACCTTTCTTCACTGGAGTCTTCTTCTTCAGATGATGATTCACTGGATTCTTCAGCAGGTTCATTCTTCATGTCTCCTGGCTCCACATCTATTATTTCTCCCTTCAAATTCAGCTGGGGTTTCTTTTCAACCTCATCTTCTAATGTGATTCCTGCTCCTATCATCATGTGTTGATATGTTTCCTCTTTACCAGTGTCAAGTATAGTGTTGACATCTTCAGATTTGATGTTGATTGGATCATTATTACCAATGAAGTTTTCATAATCCATTGTGGATTGATTTGGGTTCAGTTCAGTAGTGTTTGTTACTTCTTCCCTGGGTTCTTTCTTAATTTTAATATCAGTGGTTGTGATAATGCCCCCATTGATTTCTTCAGGAATCATCTCATCTATTTCTTGCTTGGATACCACAGGTGAATTTGCTTTTTTATTAGTTTGAGATTCCATTGTGTTTTGATATCTACTTCAATTCTCCAACAAAGCTTATGGTAGTTCTGTAAATTTTCATGAAAATATATTATAGACCATAGTGGTTATATCTACACTTCATACATTATCTGACCTCCATAAAATGTTTCACATGCATTATCGTTAGCACCGTATAATACCCACCTTTGATAAGCAACAAGCCAAGGAATTTATAATGAGAGTAATTGGATTGTAATGTTAAAAAAACATCGAAAAGTAATTGGTTCACAATGTAGGAAATATTATTCATTAATATTATTCACTAATATTATTGAAACAATAATTATAATAAAATATTCACAACAAAACAATAACGTATAAAATCTTTTGTAATACATCAATCAACATGGATACCACATGCCACACAGGCACACAAGAAACAAGAAACAAGAACAAAGAACACAAAATCAACAATCAACAGTGGCCACGTGTGCCATGCTGTCCTCTGTCAAACTTCAAAGTCAAACAGAAAGAATACTCTTCGTCTTCTTATTATTTTCGATAAATCCTTGGGATACTTGACCTATTATGGCTATGTAATGTAATGGCAATGATATTACATCTATGATCTAAGGTCAGAAGTTCAAAGCTTTGACAGGTCTTCAGTTGGCATTGACAACTATTTTGCTTTTTAATTTTCAAGTTCATTTTATCATTTCCTTTTGAAAGTTATATCTTATAATCTTATTAATTTTTTATTTCGAAAATGATTTGTCGATAATCGCATTGATAAGACATTTTGCAAGAATAATCAACTGATTATGCTAAGCTGAAGTGAATTGGCTACTCAAAACACTGCACAAATATGAATTTGCCTGCTTCTGCTTCATCAAAAGTAAAATCATGCCCAGCTTTTTACTTGAACATTTATGAATGAAAAGTTGTATTTGTTTAAGAAGGAACATTTCCAAAGACATGGTTCGATGAGGAAAGTGATCCCAGCTGACTCTGGCAAAGAAAATCTCTTTGAAGGGCACAAAAGTGAGGAAATAGAGACAATTTATAAGGTCTACAGGCAAGAATATGTCATATTAGCTGAGTAGTAAGTCTAGTAACTTCGGTAATAGGGTTTTTAATGCAATGTTTTCAGCAAAATGGTCCAGAATGAAAACATTTTTGGTGTTTATGTCATTCCATCCCATGAAAGTTCCTTAAGTGAGTCATTCCATACTTTTATGCATACAATAAATTCATCAGTGATAAATTTTCAGTGTGGTTTGGAGTGATATTTGTAAGAAGAGGCTTTTATGAAGATGGAGTATTTAGGTTCAATATTTTGCTAGATGAATCATTTCCTGATTCAAGCCATCCAGTTGGTAACTTTCAAGAAGTCAACAGACATCCACTCATGTATTTTTCTTTACAGAAAGTGATATTTCAGTCGAAAATATTCCACCCTGTGATAAATTCTAAGACTGGTGAACTAAACTTGTTGGGTGCCTTCCCAGAATGGAACAAATCAGAACAACATCTATGGCAGGTCCTCAAATATGTACAGTGGATATTTTATGAAATTGAAAGTTGTATTGATCATGCTGTCAATTCAGAAGCTGCTGAAATGTAAGTAAACAAATCTTGATTTTACTTACTTGATTTATAAATAATTAGAATTTTCCTCACAGAAAAAATTCTTTGTTGTACACACTAAACTGTAATTTCCCACTCAAAGCTGAAAATTTTTAAAATATCAGAGATAATTCTGAATGATGTTCAATGGATTCCAAACAATTTGAAATTTTTGAAAAATGGAATTTCCAAAGGAATTTCCAAGGGTTCCAAGGTATTTCAAATGATTTCAAGCAATTGTACAGGATTTTAGGTTCACCAAATATTCCAGGAATTTACAAAGTATTACAAAAAAAACAAGGCAATTCAATAGATTCTAGAATTTTTCAAAGAATGCAGAGGTATTTCAAGTAGGTAACTACAATAAATTATAATAAATGACAATATTCCAGGAAATTCAGAAAAACATAATGGCTCTAGTGATCATGATTATTATCCCTTGAGAATATCTAAATAATTTCCATTCCATTCCATGATGTTCAAAGTGTTTGAGGATATGAACTATAAAGATCTAATGTTCTTAGTCAGCAGGTTACAGGAACTGCCAAGAGTCCAAGGATTTTCATAGGATTTCTAGAAATTTCATGGGATTGTAAGGAATCTCAATTCATTCCAATAAATTCCATAGGCTTTCAATGACATCAATGTAGTTCCAGTAAATATTAAAAGAACTTGAAACAAGTAATGCCAGAATTTCCTAAGATGTCAAGGCATGCCAAGGAATTCCAGAGGATTCCAAGGACTTACAGTAGATGATGAGTCATTTCAAATGATGCCAAGTGTTCCAAAGGGTGTCAAGGCATGCCAACAAATCCTAAAGGGCTCCAGAGATGAGTTCTGTGGATGAGTTCCAAGTACTCACAAAGTATGAAGGAGTAACAGGCATGACTAACAAAGTATGTCTAGTCATTTCAATATATGCCAGGGAGTTCAAAAAGTCATCAAGGTATGAAAAAGAATTCCAAAGGACTGCAGTGAGTTCTGTGGAATATCAGAAAATATTTAAAGACTTCCAAGAACTTACAGGCTTGTCTGAAGGTTCCAGTGAGTTCCAAGAAACATTATAAATACAAAGGATGTCAAGGTATGTCACTAAATTTTAGTGAGTTCTGTGGCATGCCAGATAGAATTCCAAATTCCAAGTACTCACAAAGGATGATGATTAATTTCAAGTTATTCCATAAAGTTTCAAAGAAAATTCCAAAGGGTTGCAATGTGTTCTGTGTAATACCAGAGGAGATTCAAAGGATTCCAAGGACTTGCAGGCTTGTATAAAGATTCCAGTAGGTTCCAAGGAACATTAGAGAAGTTTCCATGTGGGTCCAAGGACTTACAAAGGTATGCCAAGTAATTCCAAAGTATACCAGGAAGTTCCAAAAGTTGTCAAGGCATGCTAAATATTTCCAAAGGGTTGCATTGAGTTTTATGGAATACCAGAGGAGATTCTAAGGATTCCAAGGACTTACAGGCTTGTATAAAGGTTTCACAGTGTTCCAAGAAACACTAGAGAAGGTTCCAAGGACTTACAAAGTATGTCAAGTTATTCCAAAATATGCCAGGGAGTCCCAAAAGTTGTTGTGATAAAGATTTCTAAAGGGTTGCAGTGAGTTCTGTGGAATACCCTCGGGAATACCAGAGGAGATTCTGAGGATTCCAAGGACTTACAGGAAGTTCCAAAAATTGTCAAGGCACGATAAATAATTCCAAAGGGTTGCCTTGAGTTTTGTGGAATACCAGAGGAGATTCTAAGGATTCCAAGGACTTACAGTCTTGTCTAAAGGTTCCAGAGTGTTCCAAGAAACACTAGAGAAGGTTCCAAGGACTTACAAAGTATGTCAAGTTATTCCAAAATATGCCAGGGAGTCCCAAAAGGGTTGCTGTGAGTTTTGTGGAATACCCTCGGGAATACCAGAGGAGATTCTAAGGATTCCAAGGACTTACAGGAAGTTCCAAAAATTGTCAAGGCACGATAAATAATTCTAAAGGGTTGCATTGAGTTTTGTGGAATACCAGAGGAGATTCTAAGGATTCCAAGGACTTACAGTCTTGTCTAAAGGTTCCAGAGTGTTACAAGAAACACTAGAGAAGATTCCAAAGGCTTACAAAGTATGTCAAGTTATGCCAAAATATGCCAGGGAGTTCCAAAAGTTGTTGTGATAAAGATTTCTAAAGGGTTGCAGTGACTTCTGTGGAATACCAGAGGAGATTCTAAGGATTCCAAGGACTTACAGGCTTTTATAAAGTTTATATTGAGTTCATTGGGTTTCAGTGAGTTCCAGAAACAGAATCTTTCCTTTTCAGGTGGCAAACCGACCGGGACTCGTTCAAATCCGAGGCTGTCGCGTGCGTCAAAGCAAGCCACGACCGACTGTACGATGCTCCGCCCACCGACGACCCCCACCACATCTGCTTCGAGCCGTACTCGCCGGCGGTGCACGATCACGTGAGGAGTTCGATGCTGGAGGAGGGGCGCAGGGCAGTGGGGGGGATGGAAGGGGGGGCGAAGAGGGGGCTGTCTTGGGTGTTGGCGGGCAGCGGCAAGTCACTGACGAGGCCGCCGACGCCGCATTCGGAGGGGGAGTCGTGAGGGGGTTGTTGGGGTGGGGGGGGATCGTGGGCGGTTTGGGGAGCAGGTGGTTTCCACTCCACATCAGAGAAATCATAGTAGGCGGTCGAGTGATTTTTCTGAAATTTTCCCCAGTAAACATTTTTTTGTTTCTGAAATGTTTCAGAAACGTAGTATTGATGCATGAAACATTGCATTCAAAGTTGCCTACATGTTCCAGAAACATTCCAGAAACTAGAGATGTCCGCCCTCAGGAATGTTTCATGGTAATGTTCCTAAATAATGTGTCAAATACGCAAATTGAAACATTTTGGAAACATTTCTACCATGATCATATCCTGTAGGAATGTTCCATGCAATATTTCATAAATATTTCTTTCGTTATATTACATGAAATGTTTCAGAAATATTCGTGAAACCAAAGAGATTTGCCCTCAAAACTGTTTCATGAATGATGTTTCGAATACAAATGCTTGAAACATTCTGGAAATATTCCCAATATGATTTAGGAATGTTTCTTGGTACATTCCATGAATATTTTTGAAACGATAAATTTTCGCCACCAGAGATGTTTCATAAATAATGTTTTGAATACATATATATAGAAACATCCTGGGAACATTCATTGTAGAACTTTCGGGAATGTTTCACGAAACATTTCATGAATGTTTTTCATTCAACAATATTACTGTTTTTGAAACATTCCCATTGAATGTTTCAGAATGAAAAATACCTACCAATATCGCTGGAATATATTCATATTGCTGGTGAAACAAAAGATAATAGACATAAAAAAATGGATTATATTGCTTATATAATGATATATGAAAAAAACAGTTAAAAAAGTATCATCAGATATTTCACATAATCACGACGTATTAGGTATGTACATATATATCAAGTAATTTAACCTCGAATTTAACATTCACATGTTGAGTGCTTCAATATTTTTCTTCGGTTACATCGCAATTGAAAGCACTATTCTTGTGCAGCTTCTAAGTATGATGAAATTCTCACACTCCACCCTAGAACAAAAAGTATCATTATGAATATACCCATCATGATATCTAATAATATTTGATATTTCATCTGAAATTACGGTTTTTCTATATTTATACGTACCTCGGCTTTGTCCATGGATCCGTTGAATACATTTCAAAGTCCAGCCACACCAGGGGATAATAAAAAAATGGAGTCGTTTGTGTTGTTTGTTTGGTTGCAAGTTTTGATGTTACTTCACATGGCCTAAATCACCTAAGAGGTCTACCGGTACGATTCAATAGCAAACACTCAAAAATATGTTTGACTTAAGTGAAATAATTATATTTTATCACTATTATAAGATATTAGATGTCTTTTGCTTTGCTTGGCTTGAGACAACAGTCGGAAAGCGAAAACTGCGAAGCCTTTCACCAAGGAGAAGGAAACTGAATGCGCGTGCGCGAACGCTTAGAGCCGAAGACGGGAACCCGCGATCGATTACCGAAGCGGCCGAAGCCACGAAAGCGGCGGCTGTAGAGGGGAAATGCTGAATTGCATCATAATATGATAAAATGCTTGGTCAAAATAGACCATGTGATAGTTGTGAAATAATCTAATTAATTTATTAAAATTCGGGTTATTTTGAAATATTCTTGAATTAACCAGTTCTTGAATTAACCAATTCCTAATAAATGTGTCATAATGTGAATAATTTGAGGAGCCTTGGAATTTTTCAAACATATATTCCAAACGCATTGGAACATTCCTGAATCAGTATTGAAAGATATATGTTTCAATTGAAGTGATTTTGAAACGTTTCATTAATAATCATTCAAGTAATTTCGGAATGTTTCGGAATATATCAATTAAAGTGGTCTTGAAATGTTTCAGAAATCTTGCAATGATATTGAAATATACCTGGAATGTTCCTGATGAATGTTTCCATTATTCAGAATGAGAGTAATATCGAAATGTTCCAACCATTTGAAATTCAGGTGATTTTGAAATGTTCCTTAATCAACCAATTTCAGTTGTCTTTTGATATTGCAGTAATTCGTAATAAGAGTATATTTGGAATGTTTCAATATTTCTATAGTTTGATGAACCTTGAAATGTTCCAAACATATTCCGAACGCATTGGAACATTCCTGAATAAGTAGAAAATGATATGTTTCAATTATTCACAATTGAAGAAATTTTGAAACGTTTCATTTATTAATTATCCAAGAAATTTTGAAATGTTTCGGAATATGTCAGTTGAAGTTGTCTTGAAATGTTTCAGAAATGGTACAAAGATTTTCAAATATTCCTGGAATGTTCCTGAAAAATGATTCCATCATTCAGAATGAGGGTCATATCGAAATGTTCCAATCATTTAAAATTCAGGTGATTTTGAAATGTTCTTCAATCAAGCAATTCAAGTTGTCTTGAAACATTGAAGTAATTCGCAATGGGAGTATATTTGAAATGTTTCAAAATCTCAATAGTTTGAGGTACCTTGAAACGTTTCATACATATTTCGAACGCATTGAAACATTCCTGAATAAGTAGTAAATGATATGTTTCAATTATTCACTATCAAAGTTATTTTGAAATGTTTCATTCATTCACTTCTCAAGTAATTTCGAAATGTTTTGGAATATATCAATTACAGTTGTTTTGAAATATTTCAGGAATATTACAGTGATTTTGCAATATCCCTGGAATGTTCCTGAAAAATGTTTCCATCATTCAGAATGAGAGACATATTGAAATGTTCCAATTATTTAAAATCCAGGTGATTTTGAAATATTCCTCATTCAAGCCATTCAAGTTGTCTTGAAACATTGAAGTAATTCGCAATGAGAGTATATTTGGAATGTTTCAGAATATCAATAGTTTGAGGTACCTTGAAACGTTTCAAACATATTTCGAACGCATTGAAACATTCCTGAATAGGTAGTAAATGATATGTTTCAATTATTCACAATCAAAGTTATCTTGGAATGTTTCATTCATTCACTTCACAAGTAATTTCGAAATGTTTCGGAATATATCAATTATAGTTGTTTTGAAATATTTCAGGAATGTTACAGTGATTTTGCAATATCTCTGGAATGTTCCTGAAAAATGTTTCAATCATTAACATTTTAGGTAATCTTGAAATATTTCATAAATGTCTCATGTTTACTGGGTCAATATGTAATAATGGCCGAATACGCGCACCATATCTTACTTCCACCATTAACCAAACTAATTCAATCAGCATAAAGATTATCCCTATGGCATATATTTTCATGCCTGAACAAACCTTTGAAAAAAATTAAAATTAATTTCAAAAATAGAACTAATTGTCTGGATATAAGGAAAGCGTCTAGAGGTCACATTAATATAATAAATTCCAGTATATTGAGAAGAAAGCGATAGTTATCGGTTTATCGATATTTTTCCCATTGGGAAACGGAAAAACTTCAACAGTAATTTTCATTTCTTTGAAGAATTTTCAGGTTAGATTTCGATTCTCTACCGGCAGGTGTTTGTTGAATAAATAAAAATTACTGATTGTTGAAATTTAACAATATTTTATCTATGGCACTGAATGACTTGCCTTAATGCCTTAATGTTCAAAAATCAAAATCGTCCATCACATTTTTGTTCTTAAGTTCATAGATTTTAATATATGTAGACTATAATCCTTAGTATAATAGTTTTTAGTGCAATAAATACATTTGAATCACATGACAGTTGGAGTGAGCAAGATATTGATTAACATGACATTTTTTTTTCATGCACATGGCATAGTTTTTTACTTGATATACAGGGTGATTCCCAAACATATGACAATGATTCAAAATTAATAATTGTCCTTATTACTGTCTGATAACTTTTTGTCTTTGAGGTATACAAAATCTAAAAGTCCAACTTTTGCAGAAACTTTTATGAAATTTGCTTATATTGTCTCAAACTTGAACTTATATTTTGATAATATTCACATTACCATAAAAATCCTTGTAAGTGGTAGAGCTTAATTCTGATTATATCACTCTCTGTAAATCAAGTGATTCCAGAAATATGTTTATAGAAACCTTTCTTGTTATTGATCTAATATGTCTTTAATTTTTTTTACAAATGTTCAGGAAACACCTTGTATATTTCTTTGAAAATTTTTGATATTTGATAATGCAAAATTGAGGCACAATAATCCAAATTATTTACAAGTTTTCTGCTTTGGACACAAAAATCCAAAAATTGTTTCATGAACCTCAAACTTGGCACAGTGCAATGGCAATCATATAATATTAGCAAAGCTTTTTGTGTAATTTTTATTTCTTGTTTGACAATAATAATATTATATATAGTATGTTATGCAATAATGGAGCATATCCATCAAATTTTAAATAGTTTATACAGTTTTATATTTACACCAAAATAAAAGAGAAAAAAGAAGAAACTAAGCAGAGTTTTTGATTTTTCCTGCATACCAATTCTGGTCCAACTCATATGTAACATTATCAAAAGTGAACCTTGTAGGAGGATTCATATCACCATTTTCAAACTCAAACCACTTGCTGAGTTCCATGGCAAGTTTGTGACCCACCAAACCAATAGCTCCGACTTTTTCTGGGGCTGGATGATAAACTCTGCCTGTCTCTGGCATCATCACCACTTTTTCAGGCTGGAATTTCTGAATCAGAAAATCCCCTGCATGATTGTGGGACAAGTACAACTCGTTTTCCTTTCTGATGACATGAGTATACACAATGGGGTAGTCATCACATCGCACAAAGTTGCGTTCTCTTCCACAGGGGGACAAGTAGGGGAACTCCTTGTATCTATCTGAGTTGTTGAGCCCCAACTGTCTGAAGAAGAATCTAAGGAACTTTATTTCTTTGAAACAAGAAGTGAAGTTTTTCATGCGGGCGTCATCTAGAAATAACTTTAGGAGTTGTAAAACCTAGGGGGAGTTCCAGTGGGGCAAGTACTCACCATTCCTTGGTGGTCAATGTAGTAAAAGTATTCTCTGATTTTCGGTTCTGGCTCTTGTCCCTGTATGTAGGATT